CTCTCTCTGCCTGTTGCAGTTTGCATAGTACTTTGGGGCTAAAAGCTTTGAGTTACTTAACTAAGAGGTGCTAAACACAGCCTGTGAGCTTGATGTGGCTTTTTCACAGTGGAAATGGATACACAAGATATTCTTTTTCAAAAGTAAGTAACAATTGGCGTTGATTGCTTCAAGAACTTGTTTGAGAAAACACATTGTTTCTTCCCTGTGATCTGGGAAATGGATATGACTTATGCTTTGGACTTTATAGCAGACTATAGAGTTCCTTATAACCCTGGTTTAAAAACTGTATTATTGTCTACCTGTTCACACTTGTGTGTAAATTTATGCACATATACTCAGCAGTCCCCCCCCAAGTTTTTAAGATAATTTTTGTTGTTGTTTTGTTTTTCTAGACTGTTTCTCTGTGGCTTTGGAGGCTGTCCTGGAACTAGCTCTTGTAGACCAAGCTGGCCTCGAACTCACAAAGATCCACCTGCCTCTGCCTCCTGAGTGCTGGGATTAAAGGCTTGCGCCACCACAAAGCTATTGTATACTTTTTAAGGTAACTTTGTATGTAGAGCTGTCTTTCTCTGAATGAAATAACAACAATGTTCTTGATCATTACTGTTCCAAAAGAAGCTCTATTCCCATTAAGTAAATGTAATACCAATTTGCCTGATGAGAAAGAAGAAAGATTTGAGGGTCCGCTAGTTTACACAAAGTCTCACTGTGTAGCCCAGGCAGGTCTCAGACTCACAGTGACCCTCTGCTTCAGCCTCCGGAGTTGGGATGATAGGCTGGATTCCCACTCTTTTAAAACAGTGAGTTCCAGGACAGTCAGGGTTGCACAGAGAAACCCTTTCCCAACCAAAATAAAATAATGATAACAAATATGTAGTGTGGCTTTATGGTGGTGGAGAACTTCTTATAAAAACTTGCCTCTTGCAAAACATCTTCATTCTTCTCCAGAGGGAGGAGAGGGAACATGGGAAGAGACAGCTGCAGGGCCCTGCTTCCTGCTTCATGGCTGTGAAATGCCATATGACCCATAAAACCCCCCTGTATGCACAAACAGTCGTTTTGTGTGGGGGGCTTCTCCAGAGTCTTCTGCCAGCCTAAAGGAGGAGAAGCAAGACCTGCGAAGGAGTGAGAAGACCTCTCAATAAACATTTTGGATAATAAAATATGTATGTGTGAGCCTGTGTGCACACAGGCTTGCTGTGACATGTTTATGGAGGTCAGAGAACAACTTTCAGGAGCTGCTTCTCCTGGTATAGCACAGTTTTTTCCTCCTCCTCCTCCTCCTCCTCTTCCTCCTCCTCTTCCTCCTCCTTCTTCTTCTTCTTCTTCTTCTTCTTCTTCTTCTTCTTCTTCTTCTTCTTCTTCTTCTTCTTCTTCTTCTCCTTCTCCTTCTCCTCCTCCTCCTCCTCCTCCTCCTCCTCCTCCTCCTCCTCCTCTTCCTCCTTCTCCTTCTTCTTCTCAGGGTTTCTCTGTGTAACAGCCCTGGCCTTCCTAGAACTCTCTGTAGATAAGGCTGGCCTCAAACTCACAGAGATCCACTTGCCTCTGCCTCCCTGTCGGCAGGGTTTATACATTGTATAGAAGTATCCCACCCCACCGGGTGGTGGTGGTTTTGATCCCAGCACTAGGGAGGCAGAGGCAGGCAGATCTCTGTGAGTTCTACCTGGTCTACAAGAGCTAGTTCTAGGACAGCCTGCAGAACCACAGAGAAACCCTGCCTCGAAAAACAAAAAACAACAAACAAAAAAAGTGTCCTGCCCCACCCTGTAGCACAAAAATAAAAGACCCAGAGACAGATATTGGGGTTCAAACTGAAGATCAGAAAAGCAAAGCAGCCACGCCACTAGTTCTTACCTCAGCTCAGACCAAAGGAGCAACTTTGCTCCCAACTTCACTGCTCTTCACATTCACTCAGACTGCTATGCTCTCCTCAATGTGACTAACTCTCAGACTGATTGTCTCCACCCTTTATACCTCTCAAATCCTGGCATTAAAGGTGTGAGCTCTGATTCACTGTCTAGTAGCCCAGGGTGTTCTTGGACTCAGAAATCCAATCTGCCTTTCTCCTGAGTCCTGGGATTAAAGGTGTGTACCACCACCACCTGATCTCTATAGCTTGAGGCTGGCTTTGCTTTGTGAATCCTTAGGAAAGTTTTAATAAATCATAACTAATATATCACCACACCACCCCCAGACTCATGACTACCCAGAATCTTAGGGTGTGACCTAAGAAATCAGGTCTTTACAGCCGTAGTCAAGATGAGGTCCAGCTGACAAGGATGGGCCTTAAATCCAATGCCTTTTTTATGAGAAAGGGGAAGGAAAATTGCACACAGACACGCTGGAAAAGCTGTGTAGCGACGGGGAAAGAGACTGGTGATGCAACCTCAAGATAGGAATGCCGAGGAGTCACCAGAAGAGGCTGGGAAAGACACTCCCTGGACACCCATGGTCTGTCTGGCAGTGTGGGATCAGCCTTCCAGCCTCTAGATCTGTGGAGGAATGAAGGCTTGGGCTACCCAGCACATGGTCATTGGTGGCAGCAGGTAACTGTGGGGATGAATGCAGGCCCACAGGATGCCTGGCAGGGAAGAAGCGAGTCACAGCAGCCTGGCAGCAGCTCGGCTCATAGGAACTATGAAGCCTCCTTTGAACCACTGCCCCTTAGCCCCGTGAACCTTACTCAAGAGCTGGACTGCCAGGAGGTAGTCCCTGGCCAGCTTACTCCATCCCTTACCCAACAGCTTGACTGGAACAAGTAGGGTGAAGCATGGGTGACTTCACTTGTCTCCTCTGTGGAGAAAAGGACTCATTTAGGGGTGGCTATTCCCTCTGTGTTGATGACCACTACACAGATGACAGGACAGCTCCTTATAACAAACTCACCCCCATCCATTCTCTTTCACCCAGTGCAATAGGTGTGCTGGCTACAGGTGTTGAGAAAGGTTAACCAGGCAGCTGCGTGCAGAATGTTTTGGAGCAAGGCCAGCTAGCTAGAAAATGGCATCAAAAACGAAGTGACAGGATAGGAGAGGCACGCTGTGGTGACCTTGCAGAGGAAGGAGAGTACTGCTTTGTATTCAGAGAGTTTGGCATTGACTGTCCAGGTTGTATGACAAGAATTTTATTTTCTGTCTCTAACTATTTCTGCCAAGTATCTTTGACTTTTTTTGTTTTGTTGTTTGGTTTTTTGTTTGTTTGTTTTTGGCATCTTAAGAATTGGAAATCATATCTTTCGTGCTTTTTACCCAATTATGGAAGATAGATCAAATATTATTTTTGCCCTTCTGGAATGGAGCTGGGAGCAGGCTGTTTTCTTTTGTCAGAGAAAACCCTCTCATAGAACTTAAGCTCAGAAAGGCAAGAGTGCAAATATCCCCTGTGCTTTCAGGTCTCGGGAAGCAAAGAACTAGAAGAACTAGGAGAATTCCTAGCACCCAAGATGAGTTACAATTCCAGGCTGCGGAGATGGCTCAGGGGGAAGAGTTCTTGCTTAGAATGCAAGGAGCCTTGGGTTTGACCCTTGGCATCACATAAGACTGGAGTGTGCTGGTTCATGTCTGTAATCCCAGCCCAGAGGAGTATCAGAAGCTCAAGTATTTCAGCTACAGCACAAGTTCAAGACTAGCCTGGGTTTCTTGAGAGCCCACTGCAAAAAGAAAGGAATCATAGTTCCTTCCAGTTGAATGTAGTGACATAGGTTTGCAACGTCAGCACTCAGACGGCTGGTGGAGGAGTGCCACAAGTTCTAAGCCAGTCTGAGCTACATAATAAACCTTGTTTCAAAAAGTCAACCCTCCTCCCAAAATACTTTCAGCTTCTTATTGGCATAGGCATCAAGCTGCTGCCAATGGCAAAATCACCCAAACAGAGACAAGAGAAACAGCAGATATTAAAACAGGAACAAGCAAAGTGTGATGGCCCACAACCTTAATCAGAGCACTTGGGAAGAACAGGCGAATAGATCTCTGAATTCAAGCAGCCTGGTCTATGGTGAGTTCCAGGACAGTCAGGGCTACATAGTAAGACCCTGACTCAAAAAAAAATCAAAACAAAATAGGTGCAGAAATTAGGTAATTAAAGTATTTATTAATTATTTGTGGTAGTTGTGTGTGTGCCACAGCACTTGTGTGGAGATCAGAGGAAAACTTGTGTTGGTTCTCTCCTTTATGAGGGACCCAGGGCTAGAACTCAGTTCCTCAGGCTTGGCAGCAGTCACTTTTGTTCACTAAGCCATCTTGCTGGCCCAGTTCTTTCTTTCTTTCTTTTTTTAATCTTAGATTTTTCTCCAACATTGTGATACTCGGTAATTCTAAGAGTAACTCTAATCTTGACAGAACTATATGGGTATTTGAGATAAGTCATCACTGATGGCAAAAGAGTTAAAGGTAGGGACTGGGGAGGTGGCTCAGTGGCTAAGATCACTTGTTGTCCTTAGACGACCCAGGCTCCATTCTCAGAACCCATGTAGTGGCTCATAACATTTGTAACTCCAGCTCCAGGGGATCCAATACCTTCTTTTGATTCCCAAGGGCAGTAGGCATGCATGTAGTACGTATAAATACATGGAAGCAAAACACTCATACATAAAGCAAAAATAAATGAAAAAACAAGCAAACAAACAAAACAAAAAAACTGCTTAAACTCCAACTCTGGTTGATAAAGTTCATTCTGAATTGTTTTCTGCAGCAAAATCAGGAATCCCAACTTCCCCAGAGCTGAGGTCTTTGAAAAGAATGCCCTGGTTGCTTTGTGCGACTGTCTCAAGATGCTGTGTGTGGCTGTCTCAGGCCGCTGTATGCGGCTGTGTCTTGGGCTGGTGTGTGCGGCTGTGTCTCAGTTTGTGTCCCAGGTCACTGATAAACCCAGAGAACAAGTTTCAAGTATACGACTTCAAATGGTTTTTTGTTTTGTTTTGTTTTGAGAAACAGTCTCACTAAATAGCTTTGACTGGCCTGAAACTCACTATGTAGACCAGGTTAGACTTGGATCAAATATGATTTTAAAAAGTACTTTATTAAGATTTATACTCTCCAGATTCTAATACATCAACTTGCAGGAGTAATTTGTATGTAGAAGACCCTACTCATTTTAGTATTTAGAAATACTCACCCATGACAAAGAAAATATTTTTCCAGTAACCACCCTTTATCACCAAGAAACCAAATTAAAAAAAGAAAACAAACAGCTATATGGATAACCACTTAAAACAATACAAACAATAAAGCAAATTTCTGATATCATCATTCGATTTTAAGCCAAGGAATTTGTTTTCGAAAGAGCTTCGATTTGATTTTATTAATTTCAAATTTTCCCCTCAGCCACCTCCGAAAAGCTCACTCCCCTGTGGGTACTTGCGCCTAGCCTTAGCTTGCCCTGCCTTCTGCTCCACAGTCTGTCTTCTGGACTTCGGCTTGCCTTCTCCCTTGGAGTCCTGTGACCTAGGACCCTCTACAGTCAGCAGATGGACCTGTGGACAGATGTGCCCTGGTCCCTGCAAGCCAATGAGTCTGTGGCCTTGAGTGGCAGGAGCCCCTCTCCAGGCCCCTGTGCTTCCTTCCCATCATGCATCAGTCACAGTCACCCCTTGCTCTCAGCTCAGCCTCACCTTCTCTGCCCACTAGAACATATGAGTCCTCCACTTCTGCTCAATAGGCCCAATTCACGTGCTGGTTTCTCCTCCTTTGAGAGCTCTTAAGACCCAGATTGGACTTCCATGGACCCTGTATGTTTTATCATTTATTATTTTTAGTCTTATTTTTGTTGTGCTGGGGATCAATCAAATTCAGGATTGAAATAGGGCATACTAGGCACATCCTTATCACCAACATATATATATACATACATATATATATATGTATGTATATATTCGTTTTGTTTTGTTTTGTATCTTTTTAGTTTTCAAGACAGGGTTTCTCTGTGGCTTTGGAGCCTGTCCTGGAACTCGCTCTGGTACACCACGCTGGTTTCGAAATCACAGAGATCCGCCTGCCTCTGCCTCCCAAGTGCTGGGATTAAAGGCATGAGCCACCACCACCAGGCAACCAACCTATATTTTAACTCCTAAATATCTTACACCCCAGGTCAAGGTTGATTACAATTTATGATTCATTTACTCTGTTATATATTTCAATACATGGGAAATCACGTCATCCAGTATTTTTGAAGCTCTGATGTCAGATCAGATGTTTTCCATAAAAAGCAAAACAAAACAAAGGATAAAACAAACACCCTCCCACAAAATCCCCACAGAAATAAAAGCAGAACATTTTGTGATATTGCATTCAGAATTCTGTGTACTGTTTTCCCCCCTTCAGATTCCAAAGGGAGCCATCACCTGCGGTGCAGTCATCAGACACAAGGGAAACACCACTTCTCTTCTGTTAAAGGCACATACACAGACCCACCGCGGATCCCTGGTGAGAAGAAAACCAAACCTTGCAGAAACTGTGCCCTGCTGGGGTTCAGTGACTCCTGCATCAAGGCATCACCGGGCAAAGTTATCACGTTTATCTGCCAGGAGGGTCTTCCAGGCAAGGATGGCTGCTGCACCCCAGGTCTCCTTTGTGATCCTTCTGCAGCAGCATTTGCTCAGCAGTAAATACGCTTCAAGCATCACAGTGCTTGCCTGGCGGCCTCTAGGCTGAGGACACTAAGTCAACAGTTTGTAAGAAATGATTCATCTTGTTACTGTGGTTAGATTCGAACAGTGTTTCTAAACTTTGTGACATGGATCATTCCTCCCTCCCAGTTAATAGGAAATGAATATCAGTCTGGAGTCCAGATAGGATTAAGCCATGTTTTCACTTGAGTACTAAGATATCTAAGAGAGGAGAAAAGAGAATAATTATGAACAGCACAAAACTCCCTCTAGTTAAAAAAAGATTCTTCGAGGCCAGAGGGTCTGGAGTTCAAGGGCAACCTGAGCTACATGAGACCCCATATATAAAAAAGGGGAGAGTGGTGGGGGTGATCTGGAGAGGTGAGGCTCAGGTGGTGGGGGTCATCTGGAGAGGTGAGGCCAAGGCGGTGAGGGCACCGCCTGACAACCTCGTTCTTAGATGAGAGGACAACTGTGGGACTTGGCTCAGTCTGACGGAGTCTGAACTTTCCCACCATGTGTGTCCTAGGGATCAAACTCACACACAACACGGGCCTATTTGCATGGAACTGAGCCATCTTGCCAGCCCTGCTTTTAGAGACAGGGTCTCGTGTAGGTCTGGTTTGGAACCTAATATGTTGCTGATACTGGTCTTGAACTCCAGGCCCTCTTGTTCCCACCTTCCAGGTGCTGGGATTGTAAGCCATACCCAGAGAGAGATCTAAAGCCAGTGTTTAATATTTGCTTATAGAGCAAACACAGGAGCTACTTTGTGGAATTCAGAGAACTGAAATTACAGGCGAAAGACACTAAGAATGAAATTCACAACTAAGTTTTGTTTTAATTACACCTCATGAAAAAAAATCCTGACATAAAAATAGGTATAAATGGTAAAGTGGGGAGAGGCTCTATTTTTATTTTGCTCCTCTCTTCACCCTCCCCTCCTGCCTCCACCTCTCCTCTCTCCTTGGGCTGGAGACTGACCTCCTGCCTAACCAAGCACTTTGCCACTGACCTACATCTCCAACTCCGGTTCCTGTTTTCTCTACCTGTCTCGACATCTTCAGATAGTCCTAACTTTCAAGACTGCACAAAAGCTGATGACATAGTTCTCTGGTAATCTCTTTCTTTCCTTTAAGGTTTAATTTTAATTAGGTGTTTGTGCATGGGTGTTTGTATGTGCATGTATGTGCCTGTGGAGGCCAGAGGCTTCAGATGCCCTGGAGCTAGAGTTACAGGTGTTGAAGGCTGGGAATTCAACTCTGGGAGAATAGTACACAGTCTTAACCACTGAGATTTCTTTCCTTCCCTCCCCCTTCTCCTTTTGCTTTTTGAGACAGGGACTCATGTAGCTCAGGCTATCCTCAAACTTGCTATGCAACCTAGCAACCTAGCTCCTGATCCTTCTGCCTCGATTCTCAAGTCCTAGGATGATAGCCATGTGTTATCAGACCTTTTAGAATGCCCCCTGCACGCGCGTGTGCGCGTGCGCGTGCGCGTGCGTGCGTGCGTGCGTGCGTGTGTGTGTGTGTGTGTGTGTGTGTGTGTGTGTGTGTTATACAATGAGTGAGCTGGGATGGTGGTGCATGCCTTTAATCCCAGCACACTGGAGGCAGAGGCAGGCTGCTCTATGAGTTCCAGGCCAGCCACCGATACATAAAAAGAAAGAAAGAGCAGTAAGTGCTCTTAACCACGGAGCCATCTTTCAGCCCTTTCAGAGGATCTCTCACCCAATGCAGAGTTTCCATTTTGGCATCCCCAGTGCTGAGTATATAGACACCACCACTCTTATATGGGTACTGGGGATTTGAACTCAGATTTTTATGCTTGTGTGTATAGCAAGCATCTCATTCACTGAGCAAGCTCCTTAGCCCCCAGAATTTGTTTTCTGACAATGACAACATATTTCATATCATGGAACCTCAGCGTCACTCTCCAAAGCCTTTGGGCAGCAGCACAAAATTGAAGTAGCTGAACTTCCCCACATCTCCAACACAAACAGGTGATTCTTCTAGATGATAGCAGTGAGTCAGAATGGCAGAAACTAGCAGACTGGACTTTAGTTTGCTTTTAAGTTGCAGCTGTCTCGTACCAGCCAGAGAACAGAATGTTTAAAATGTCTTGATCTGCTACATTCTCATTTTTCATTTTATTTAAAAACTAAAACCGGCCAGGCGGTGGTGGTGCACACCTTTAGTCCCAGCACTTGGTGAGTTCGAGGCCAGCCTACATGAGCTAGTTCCAGGACAGGCTCCAAAGCTATACAGAGAAACCCTGTCTCAAAAAACCAAAAATAAAATAAAATAAAAAACTGCTTAGTGGGCTATAATCTCCTGATTGTCATCTTTATTATTCAAGGCCACGAATGCTTAATGTGGTAACTTAAAATGTCAGACTGAGATGCAGGGATCTGACTGAACAGTTGCAGCAATCTAGGGTTCCATGGAACATACTTTGAAAACCCCCTTTCCCTCTCTTGGAGTGATTATCATTTAGTTTAACAATCTTACCTCTAGGGAGATGACAGCAGCTTAAGCTATAGGTATAGACCAAGGTTTAAATGTCTTAGGGTCATCTCTTGGGATCTAAGGGGGAAGAAAAAAGGAAATAAAAGAGCAAAATTTAACATGTGTACTGGATTGCATATGCTACTACATTATTTGACCAGAGAAATCATATCAAATCTTTATTTATGTTTATTTATATATTTGAGACAGGTTCTCACTATGTGCCTATGGCTGGCCTAGAACTCTATAGATCAGGCTGGCCTGGAACCCACAGAGATCTGCCTGCCTCTGCCCTCTAAGTGCTGGGATTAAAGGTGAGCAACACCATGCCTGGCTGTATCAAATCTTAAGGTTTCAAAACCTTCTCAAAAGAGAAGGCAGAGTTTTTCTGGTTCCTGGGGAAACTGGCATTCCTTTCAAATGATAACTTTTATCAGCACCAGGCTTGACACAACTAAGTTAAAAGGCCAGCATCAAATGCCAACTCCCTCCCCCCCTCTCTCTCTGGTTGTTTAAGACATGGTTTCTCTGTTTAGGCCTGGTTGTCCTGGAACTCACTCTGTAGAGCAGGCTGACCTCAAACTCAGAAACATGCCTGTCTCTGTCTCCTGAGTGCTGGGATTAATGTTTAAAATAGTAGCACTGTTAGGTGTGGGGCACATACATATAATCTCAGCACTCAGGAAATCGAAGCAGAAGGATGTCCAGGTTGAAGCCAGCATAGTTCATATATTACACCCTATTTCAAAACAAAAACAAAAACAAAGACAAAACAAAAAAAAAACAGTGGATTTGTGTTATAATCTTTCCTATTACGTTAGGTAACAGGACATGTCCGTGAATCACCGATCTTCTTTGCTCCCCAAGGATGTATTCCTGAAGAATTACATATCCTTGGAATAAATGTGGGGGGCATGAGAAGAGGACATGACTGAGTTAGGATGCCCTTTCCCACTGCTATGGTGACAGCCCTGTCTGCAGCACTAGGCACATCTGGATGGTGTGTGCTCTTAGAGTTAAACCGCAAGCTCTCTATGCTGTCCTGGGCTACAGGCTCCCTGAGTTTCACTCCATTATCTTCCCGGTGGCCTCGATAGCTATCTCCTCAGAGAATTCATCCTCTTAGCTTTGGCCTCAGGGCTGAAAACACATTCATTACCTCTCATTTGCTCATGGTTTTGTTTGAAGGGCTGACCTTTATGTCCAGTTTTAATTATTTTAAGTTTTTGGTGCAGTGGATCAAAGGTTTATGCAGCCTAAGCATGCGGTCTATCTCTGAGCTATATCCCTGACCCACAAAGGTGGTAAAAATAATTTATCCCAGTAATGGGAAGTTGTAAATATTTCCAAAAGCATCTCATTTTTCTATTCTTATTGGGAATGTAGCTCAGAGGTAGAGTGTATGGGTCTTTGGCTTCGATCTTAGTCTGCAAGCAAAGCAAAACAAAACAAATAAACAAAAATAGGCCAAGTGGTGGTGGTGCATGCCTTTAATCCCAGCACTCAGGAAGCAGAGGCAGACAGATCTCTGTGAGTTTGAGACCAATTTGGTCTACAGAGTGAGTTCCAGGACAGCCAGGGCTTTTATACAGAGAAACCCTGTCTTAGGGAGAAAAAGAAAGAAAAATTTCTGCAACTCTGTCTTTCAGGACATGTATATAAGCTCTCTCTTTGTACTGCCTGGGCTGGGCTAGACACTAGACTAAGGTCCTAGGTCTAGTCTGAGGCAGATCCACTCTTCTGGTAAAAGGTGGAATTCCTTAGTCTTTCAAAACTCATTTCTTAGCTGAATGTGGTGGCACAGTCGGTGATCCAACACTTGGGAGGCAGAAGCAAAAGGGTCATTGAAAGTTCGAGGCCTACCTCCTCTATATAGTGAGTTTCAGGCCAGTCAGAACTACATAATGAGACATTGTCTAAAAACCAGCAACTGGCAAGGCGGCTTGGTAGATAAAGACACTTGCTGCCAAAACTGACAACCTGAGTTTGATTCCCCAGGTACATGGTGGGAGGAGAGATCTGATTCCTCTAAGTTCTCCTCTGACTTCCACCCACACCCAGGAATTAAAAAAAAAGTAAAAAAAAAATTAAAACCAGATTCAACCCAAATAAAAAAAACAAGTTTCTTATTTTTTTCCAGCAGACCTGTACCCCTAGGCTGCCTTCTTATTCTAGGGTGGAGATCAATGTTCAGTCTACCCTCCTCCCCTTGTCTAAGGTCTAACCTACTGTCTAGCTTCTAGGGCTAACAGTGCTTCCTTTCTTAGTCTGGGACTTAGATGGTGCCACTCTGATCTTGGCTGATAACTATCCTTTGCCTCCTGCCTGAGCCACCCTTCTTGTCACCATTCTGGACTTGGCTGACTCTTGATAACTCTGATCAAAGCAACACATTCACTGCAGAGGTCAAGGACAATTTCAATTTAAAGTCCACTTCTTAGATAGTAGCTGGGGCCAGTCTGCTGTGGGATAATCCTTCTGTGCGCTGTAAATACGCATTGCTCTCATTGGTTAATAAAGAAGCAGATTTGGGCTATAGCAAGGCAGAATAAGGCTAGGAGGGAAAGCCGAACAGAGAAGAGGGGTGGAACCGAGAAAGATGTGAGCCAGTCACCAGAGGAGCAAGACATGCTAGGGAACCGGTAAAGCCACAAAGCCATGTGGCAAAATGCAGATGAATACAAATGAGTTTATTTAAGACTGGGCTGGTTTAACCTACAGAAACAGTTGACCTGAACAAGGGAGAGCTCTTGGACCCCAGATTGATGGCTGTGTGGAAAGCATGGGACTGACCCAGACCCCCTGAAGGTGGGTGTTAGTGAGGAGGCCTAGGTAATCTATGAGGCCTTGGGTAGTATTTATCCCTGGCATACAAACAGACTTTGAGTGCCCATGCCACAATATGGGATTCTCTCTCAGCCAGGACTCTTGGGGAAGGGCCTAGGTCCTGCCCTGGATGAAATGACAGTTACTGGAGATCCACCATGGAGGGCCTCACCCTCTCTGGGGATCAGAGTGGAGATTGGGTGGGGGGATTGGGGGACCTGGTGGGGAGGGCGGGGGAGGAGGGGAGGGAGAGGGAGCTGGGATTGACATGTGAAACAAGCTTGTTTCTAACTTTAATTAAAAAATGGGTTTATAAAGTTGTAAGAGCTAGTTAGTAATAAGCCCGAACAATGGGCCAAACATTTTTTAATTAATATAAGCTTTTGTGAAATTATTTGGAACTGTGTGGCCAGGACGAAAGAAAAGCTCTGCCTCTGTTCACACCAGTCTCTTTTGTTTAGTGGTCCAGCACCTTTGCTAGTTGCCATCAATTAAATTCATGGAAATGGTAGCCTTGGATTCATCATCACCATCATTGTGCAATAAGGATCAACTCAGCAGGTCTGGCCTATCCAAATCCAATATACACCAAAGAAAAGTTTGGTCTTTGTAGTTCCTTGGAGAATACCACTAAGTCCTTGGTATATCCCACATGACACCATCTCTGGAGCAAGGTCAGCTATGAGAGTCATTTCTTGCCTGTGCCACTGACACCCAATAGAAACTGGACTCTGATGAGATGGCTCAGGGGGTAAGGCATGACCACTACAAGCATGCACATACATACACAGATGTGAAAAAAAAAAGCCACACAGGAAGATGAGGCAAGAGAATCTGATAGACTGTGAAGTCTGAAAGATCTCATGCAAAGGATGCAAAATCAGCCTATGAGAGAAACAAATTATCCAAGAGGAAGGTTGACTCCACACATACATATCCAGGATGTATTAGATCTAACCATTTGTGCAGGTACAGAGACACTCCATAGTGTCCCAAAGGGACCTGCGATACATTATACTACTAAAACTTAAAGCTCTGGGTGGAGATTTAAGCTGCCAGTGAGACATGTAATACACATGTAAGTTGTATATAGAATTACACGTAACAGGCCATGTGCCTTTATAAGCATATCCTTACTATATTCCTGTGGCAATGTATTATGAAAAAAATATCTCTTACTTTCTAAGAGACTGGAACTACTGTAGAAATTCACATCTAGAGTTAATACTTCTTTTTTTTTAATCTTTTGAGACAGGGGTTCTCTGTATTGGAGGCTGTCCTGGAACTCTCTCTGTAGACCAGGGTGGCCTTGAACTCACAGAGATCCACCTGCCTCTGCCTCCTGAGTGCTGGGATTAAAGGTGTGCACCACCAACTCATGGCTGAGTTAATACTTCTTGAAGTGACCTATTGTGGACTCAGCCCATTTGTTTGTTTCACCCATTTTTAAGAGAACAACGCAACAATCTACCTTTACTTCGATTTCCCATGTAGCCACCTTTTACAGTCTAAGCTAACACATAGCTGTAATCTTGAGTTATGTGCTCTTCCATTCCCCCGACCCAGAACAATGCATGCGTGTTCTGTATGGAAGCAGCAAGTACAGAAGTCGAAAGTGATTTTCTAAAATGAATAGCCACCGTAGATGTTGAACTCAGCACTATGGGTATTGATTGATAAACAGTGATGTTTGTTATCTGGTCAGTTGGGGTCATCTGGAGTCAGTGACTTAATCGCTTCTAAAACTCAGCTAAAGATTTCTGTAAAATATCTTTCATTCCTTCCCCCCTGTGATACTTTCTGTGCCATTCAGTAAAGCAGAGAACAAAGCCCTTTGTTAGAGGCAGACACACAGGCATACAGACACACAGAGACACAGACATGCAGACCTTTACGTGCTAAGCCATCTCACCAGCCTCTCAAGCGACTTTTCCCAGTGGATGGCTTTCTTTCGCACATGATGCTGATGCTGACATGAGCTGTTGGGGAAACATCAGTGGAGCACAGGAAGACAGGTGGACTTCCCGAGTTAGGACAGCTGTCCCATCAGGTCAGCACACTTGGAGATCATCCTCAGTCAGACCAAGGCCAGCAAGAACTAAGTGAGAACCAGTGCACTCAGTGGCCTCTGGCATGGACCACATCAGCGATTCTTTAGGTGTACATCTAAGGGTAGGGCACATTCCTTTTTTCTCTGAGACAGCGTCTTATGTAGCCCAGGTTTTCCTCCAACTAATTATGGTCGAGGGTGA